TCAGGGGAGGTTTCCTCCTATTGATTCTCCAAAACACAGCACCTCACCTGAAAGACTCGCGCACATCCTCCTCAGTCAATCCTGAGCTTCTGCTGATATGGCATTTTGGCAGCTTGTCCAGTTAACAACATGGTTTTCTGAGCCATGAGGACAATCCCTTAATAAATCCAGGACACATTCAGAATGTCTCCAAATGCGAGCAAGTCTGAGTCTCCGTCCAAATTCACATGCTGCATCTTCCGAAGGGCGCATTTTCGCTTACATTTTTCGCCTGCATTTTTTGGCTGCACGTGGTTTCAGAATTCTAGCAAGACAATTCGCAGGCTGGGTCCTTCGACGTCTTCAGAGGCTCCTCCTCATGTAGCTAGTCTACGTGGACTGCATAATCCGTGGAGAATTTAGACATTCTTAATGTGAATTTGGACACCTCGTCCGGTCGAATCGCACCAGAAGTGACGTCATGCGTCAAAAAATGCTGCCTTCGGAGGCCCCCGCCTGTGAATTTGGACACAGCCTGAATCATTGTCCTGTACTCATTATCACTGCACAGTGGCGAGGCTGGCTGGAGCTCAACATTCCAGTCTCCATTCATGAGGAGCCATGCTGGACGGCTAATCAGCCTCACCGTGAACGTGTGCTGTGCACAGTCTGATATCGCTCTCACTGATCTGATCTCGGCATGTGTACAAAGGAACAAAAAAGGGAGAATCGCCGAAAGGAAATGTCAAGGATAGTAAATGCGGCCAACACAGTAATTAGCTGCCGAACAGGCCTACCTGAAGATCTGTACAGCTGGCGTGGGCAACACAGACATACTTGCGCAAACAAGGTAATGGCTACAAGCAACTAATGATTCTCTGAGGCTGAAGAATTTCTCTTGCTAATTTGACATTGGCTGAAAAGCGGGCTGGCGCCATTACTGATAGCGTGCAAAAGTGAAGGTTTGAAGGGGGGAGGCGTCCAAACGCTGCCACTCCACTTATTCTCTCTGCTCCTTTCTTCCCCACTGTGACTCCTCCAGCAAGCGAGGACACAATCCTGATGCTTTTCCTTGAACAAAGAGGATTTTTTTTCTTCTTTTGTGTCATTTCTTTACGCAGCAATCATTATCTGTCCCTGAGTTTTGTTCAGTAGGAGACAGTGATGAAGCCAAAATGCTATCGGGGCACTTCCAATTTGTGACCGCTCCCAGTTATGACGTCATCTTGACATAAAACACTCGCAACCTCACCGAGGAGAGAAGCATTAGTCTAATAATGACCGGTTAGTCTGTCAGTGTGACCAGTGTTCACATTAGTATTGTCTTCCATGTGGATGCTTGGCAATCAGGACCCAACAGGATACAAGGGAATTGGAAGCATGTGGCAAAGCTCGAGGGAAGCGACGACTCCTGCACTTTGAAATAAGCCCCTGAGGCAAATTAAGTTGGACACGCTACAAAACAGCACAGAGCAGCGTGCGGAGACTTGGAGGAAGCTAAAGGTTACGTGATACATCAAACCGCTTCATTACAATTCTGTGCTCGGCAAATAGGTAGGCAGGGGTCGGGATGATTTTCCCTTCTCTGCTTCCATAGTCAATCCATCCAAGTTCATAAAAGGGGCACTGTGTCAGAAGTGGCGAGGTGCAGAGAGAGAGTGCGTATATTTGTGCTGAATGTTCTTTCATCTGGCAGCACTCACAACCCACTCTGTCGGACGCTCTCCAACAAGACTGGTTGGTTGGCGGCCCAGGGAGCTCCGTGCTAAATTGGCAGCCCGGGGAATATGGGGCGCTCTCGCACTGATGCTCGCCCACGCGCAGGCTTTCATTCTCCTTTTTCTACCCTTGACCGTTGACTGACTGCACTCATTCTCACCGTCCAGCATCAATCTGTCCCTCAATGATGTCACTTGTTCAATGTCTTTGTCATCTCGCTCTAATTTAGTCGCAACGGTGCTCGTTCAGGTTATCCATCGAGGTGCTCCTAAGTATTTCCTTCCTGATATGTGTGTCCGGTCCTTTTGATTAATAACGCCTACCTCCTGCGACAAAGACAAAATACAAACGTGCATATAATATAACCACACCACTAACCACACCAACTCACTAACATGCATGTACTGTAGGCATACTAACCAAATCTGTTTGAAGTGTGAGACCCTAAAAGCAGAGGGGGCTCCTGTGTGCATTAAGTATTCATCTGACGTGCGGTGGGGTGCACGGCATGTGTGTGCGCACGTTGGTGTTATAGGAGCCAACGTGCACATGAATGCGTGTGTGTGTGGACGCGCGCGTACGTTGAGAGAAAAACGGTACTCCCAAATTGCGCCGCAAGCAGCCAGCAATCGAGTGAGCTGACACTCAGTCTGGCTGTCGAAGGGAAAAGGGGATGGGCTGGGGGAGAGAGAGAGAGAGAGAGAGAGAGAGAGAGAGAGAGAGAGAGAGATCTCCGGTCGTGGAAGGAGCGAGAGGCAGACTAGGAATTCTCCTCATTCTCAGCCAGCCAGTGGAAATCTTGCAACCCAGTCAGGCATGCTGATTCCTGCATATGAGCAGCACAGACTGGGAAGGACGTGGTCTTCAGAATCAGCAGTCACACCACCACAGGGGATTAACCATGCAGCCTGTGATGTGACTGCAGAATGGATGTGAATGAAGGGGCGCAGAGAAAAACTGTGTGGAAACTGTTGCTGGATTCTTGAATCTTTGGATGTCGGCTGAACTTTTTTTCGGGGGCAGAGGGATGGAAAGCTTTTGAAGTGCGTGAAAGAAAGAGATGCTCAGTCTCGTCCTGACCCCTCATTTCGTCCTTCCAAGCAGCCCTGCAGACTACCTGAACACACACACTGGGTACTCTACCTGTTCGTCCATTCTGTCCTGCGCTTTTCTCCCCCGTTCAGTTCTGAGGTTGCCCACGCCTCCCCCTCCTCTGCATCGTCTTCCCTCTGTGAAATCAGGTGTACCCTCTATGATTGCCATCGGAGTGAAAAGGACCCCGGCGCCCCAGCTGGCGAGTGGCCCCGCCTCGCTCCATTCTCGCCACACTGTGGCAGCATATAAATTGTTCAAGTAATGGAGAATGCTGACAAAACAGACATGGACTGCAAAGTTGAACTTTATCAGGTGTCTATTTGCTGACTATGAGCATCCTCTAGATAATGGATTGGAAAGAGCTGTAAGTATACACCACAGCGTTGCCTTTAACTTTATTTCCTTTGCAGTAGATGCAAGCAGATTCTAGTCTGACGCCTCGTCTTGACTTGCTTTGATCATTGATTCCAAATTACACACGTGCCAGCGTCATTCCCACAGTGAACAGGTGGACAAACTGCCTTAGTCTGTCCCCACAGCTTATTTTCCATTGACTGATCATGGCCAAGAAAGAGAGCTGAAGGTAGCGTCAGCGAGAGAGGAAGTGGCAAGTCATTCATTTCCTTTTGTGTTTCCTGCCCATTCATTGTTTGGGTGAAGAAGCGATAAATCACATTTTTTTATGTCCTTCGCTACAACTACATGTGCAGCAGTTTGGATGCGCAGCGTGAATTAAGCCTATGATTCACCGCCTTCGATTGCGAATTCACCACACGGGTCACAACCGTTCTAAATCAATATCTGAATCTCGCTATTTCCTGTTGCTTTTTGATGATGCATGACAAATCTTATCACTGATGCAAAATAAGAGATGCAAGGATGGGTACATTTATCTTGACGCAATGGGCTGTGCATGCTTATCAGTCCACCTAAATGTGTATTGCATAAATCCACGTGTGCTCCTATGCTTTTTCAACCTTTCCTTCGTTTCACCTCACGTTCACCTCCACCGCCATCATTTTTTTTTTTTTCATCCACACAATCCAGCCGGCATGCTCTCACACATCAGCAACTCCCCGGGGAGAACCTTCTCCTGTAGCCCTCTTGGATGCAATAATTATTCCATCAGCCGGCAGCGTGTTACCTGATTGTGCTCAAGGGCTGTCGCTGCAGGGGGGCGTACAGTGGAGAGGCGAGGGATGAGGGGAGTGTTGAGAGGGTGAGCGGTGGTGGTAGTTGTCACTCCAGGACACAGGGAGGGGGTTGTGTTTTTGGCAGTGGCCCACCCAGTCCTGTCCGGGGGAGCTCTGAGAAGGACTAATGGGGCTTGCTTGTTCGAGTTCATACACGCTTCTGTTGCTTCTCCCATGTGGCCTCCCAACAGTAACTGGAGTGCAGACAATTTCAGTGAGTTTTGCTCTCTCTGTGAACTTGCATTTTCAGATGCGGTATTAGTTGATCCAAGCGGTTACCATGCCGGAGTCTATATCAATCAAACGTTTGCGATAATTGGTGATGAGTCTTTCACATCGCTGTGGGGGAATTTTGGCCCACACTTCTTCGCTGAATTGCTTTAACTCCGCCATATTGCAGGGTTTTCTACCATGAACTGACTGTTAGGATCACACAAATATGGTTTATATATACAGTTTTCCCCCCATTATTATTGCTAGTTTACTTGGTTAGGCTAAAGTTGACCCCCCCCCTCCCCCAACACTCCATGTTCTGCTTTGAATCATAACACAGGAGGATATGCAAATATGAATCCCATGTTTCCATGTCAAAGTCACAGGAGGATATTATGTGTTGTAATTGCCTCAGAGGAGATACATTCAGTTTTTGTTATTGTTCCACATCTGTGAGAGTTGTGTGTTTGTTTGATCCAGATAAGATCAATGTTCTTTGCAGCTATGTCAAAAGTACACAAAAATGCCCTGGGGGAGTTAAATATATCACTAGGCTCTGAAGAAGATGCATGACAAAAGCATCTGTCCTGGTAATGGATTCTTGTGAATTTGTTCTCTTGGGGAAACAAAAGAACTTGTTGGCCTTCTGGTTGTCACACAATATGTTTTGTCTCTTGTCTCAAAACACACTGTAAAAATGTAAATCTAGACATAAATTATCAAGAAACTCAATTGAGTGCCTGTGCTTATTTAAAGGCTTTTTAAAAAGATATGACATTCAGTGTTCTTGTTTCCATGCAGGGCAGCTCAGAAGCTGAACCTGTCCTCCAAACGGAAGAAGCAGCAGCCTTCCCTGCTCCACCCACAGGAGCCCTCCATCTACCCCACCAACTTCAGTGGCATTCTGCAGGTTTCGCCCCCTTCTGCCCCACCATGCCTGCTCCGCGCTGTGTCCAAAGTGAAAGAGAATCCTGGGATGGGCAAGGTGAGAGAGACATCCCCACCGCCATGTGCACCCATTTGACACATGGGCCACACTTCCGAGCCCAAACGCAATAAAATACAAACATTCACACACAGTGATAGCGCAGAGCCCATTTAAGGCGAAACACTTGTTCTAGCTTAGCAGTTAGCAATTTGCTTTACAGGAAAGGAATACAGCAGCGTACTTAGAAGAATGCATTTTCATATCATTATGCTGTTTAGAAAAGCCCATAAGTATAAATGTACAGTCCGAAGTTGATCATCCTTCTATTTAGTTCTGTAGGTGGCAGTAGTGGACATTTCAAAGTGAAAAATGCTAGCTAAAAAGCTATGATTGCCATCTTCTGTGGTTTCAAAAAGGATAGATAAAATACTTTGGATACAATCTTGGCTCAAAATGTCACAAGATCTACTTTTGTTCATTTCACACCCCTCTGCAATGTTTTGTGCAGGACTGAGACTTGGGTATTCCTGTGCACAAACACAGCAGGAAGTAGCATGCCGGCAAGTAAATAAATCCGGAGTCGTGAAAACATGACATCATCGCTGCACTTGACAGAAGTAAATAGACACAAGACAGGAGGGGTAAAGCTGGGTTGAGACACGCTGGACGACATGCTGAAGGTCAAACATTCCCATTCTGATAAGTCTTCAGGAATCCACTCATTTGTGTGACCAGAATTTTTGATTGGCAAATTGTGAATCTCATGTTGTATCAGCAACAGGTTCTCAATTTCCATGTTAGCTGCTCTGTACTCCGATGAAAGCCAAACTGGTAGCGATGAGGCAGGCATTAAAGTAAGCTGTGTAAACACATCACTCTTCCTCTGTGGTTTATTGGCCATTGTTTGTCTGAGCCGGCGTCCTGTATTTATAAAACAGAAGTCCCCGAACAAGATTCGGTCCCACCTGGGTAGGAAGCGCTTGCTTTTTTGTGCCAGGTATCCAGACGGTCTGGCCATTTATTGTGAATTTCCCAGTGTGACACACTAAGTCTGTGTTGTAAACAAGCCCAAAATTGAGGTAAACTGTGCATCTGTGCACCCAAAGGGGTTGTTTCCAAAGAGGTGATTAACATTTATGGCCACTGTTACAAGTGTGAAAAGCTAGATTCCAAAGCAATTGCATTTTTTGTCTTGTCTTTTTGCCCACCTAACTTTCAATTGTTGATTGACCAAGTAACAGTAGTGCCTGGACCCACCAACTTTCTCCTTGCTCGGCCCTCCCTTCTTTTCAATTGTTCCACTGTGGGTCATGGCAAAAGTAGGTCACATCTACTTTTGACTTAGGCACAGTGTTGATTGCCAAACCGCACTAATGGACTTGTTAGGGGATCTACGAGCAGCGAACCAAGGGCCATTAGCACAGCATTCTGAGGTGTGAAAGTATTGGAGCCATTCCTTTGTGGCCTTCAGCATGCGATCTTTGCCAACATAAATAGAGTTGAGACATTTGCTTGGCTGGCAGCCTCTGTGTGAGATGCTGCAGTTACGTGGAAGGCCTCTTTAAATGTCACAGCAAATGTAATAGTCTCAACATATGCACATGTCAGTCATGGCAACAGCTCCCCCGCTGAGTGGAAAAAATGCTCTTTGCAAGAAAGCGATTTCCAGCCACATTGTTTTAGAGCTCTGCTGCCCGAATCTGATGTCGTTTTTATCGAACCATAGTTGGAAGAAGAATGGGCTTTTGTGCAGACTTAAAGACCCTAGTCTGGGCCACACTGGTCAAAACGTCAGCTAGGATGAAGCCAGTATTCGTCTCCAGCTGGGCATCATGTTAGATACCTCCAACATGTGTGTTTTGTGTATGTGTGTGTTGTTAAGTGCTTGGAGAGGGGATTGTGACATACAAATGCATGACCTGGGCTCGAAGGTGGACTCCTATTGCCCACTTCAACTTTAAATCATCCTTTTTCTTGCAGTTGCTTACGAATGTACTTCGCGCGTGCCGATCTCCTGCATGGATTCCAGCGAGTCTGTCATGCTTTCGGCACATAGACCGCGTGCCACCCCTGCATGAATTTTAAAGGAGATGAGGGGAGCCACTTCAATTAGCTGGGAATCAAGTTGTTCAGTCCCACAACGGCGCAAACGGCCATTTCTAATTGCGCCTGGAAAAATGGCAATAGATAGAGAGCTCCACCCATGCACACCATTGGACTGCACTTTGCGCTAGACTTACGCTTGGCAGGAAAATAGGGGCCCCATATAAGACCACCACTTACAGGACACATAATAGGGCTCTATTAAAAAACAAATGCATTTTTTTTTTTAATCAAAAATGTTTTTATTGTATGTGTTGAGGCTGCCATAGCACAAATGGGGCAACACTCGCAGAAACCATATACTCTTCAATTGCGCAGCACAGTAGCAGCAGCAATTACTGCATGTTATATTAAACTGGCACACCTCACCCTCAGTAACCATGGTGATTAGATGGACAATATCCTTTGTGATCATATATAATATGGTCGGGCATGACCTATGGAATGTGCTAAGGTGAACCCCAAATTTGTTGTCTTTTAATGTAGATTTTCCAATTTGCAATCACAAACAGTAACAGGGAGAGGGAGGTGAAGTGAAGTAGGAAGAGTGAAAAGGTGCTATGGGGGGGATTATGCTGGTGCACTCCCGTGCTGGTGAGCTTCCCATCGTCCAGAAAAACTCCCCGCTGGAGCGCTAATCCTCTCGCATGGCACTTGCTTCACAGGCATTCATCTGCACCACTCTATGCCTTGACTTTCAATGCACACCTTGCCGCCTCGCACTGACACCATTAGGCATTAGGCTGACCTACCGCGTTTGCCAGTCAATGTTGGATTGAGTGTTTCCATGGAAACCTTCGCTGTCCATCAACCCTGATACGGATGATGTGATGTTAATGCTCAGTGTGGCACTAAGCTTTCCTTTTGGAGCCTGAGCTATATTCAGAATGCCTATATAATTTATTCTCGTTTGTCAGCACTCGAAGCAAAAAAAGATGGTCATTGTAGCCTGTAATTTTTCTCCCTCTGCGGTGAATCTGAAAATGTGTTCCTGCAACCCTCTGTGTAGTCGCGCCTGACCATTTTTCATGCTTTATTTGCTTTATAATTGAACCCCGTCCTTTTGTCCCCCGTGCTATTTGTTTTCCTCTATGCTCCAGGTCAAAGTGATGATGCGCATTTGCCCGTCTTGGGAGGCAACCGACTCGTCCGAGTCTCAGTCGTTCTTGAAAGTGGACAGCAGGAAAAAGCAGGTAACCCTCTACGATCCCGCATCCAGCCCTCCGCACTCAAGTTCAGGACACAGACGCTCCGCCACTGTTGCTGTCCCAAAGATATTTGCCTTTGATGCAGTTTTTACCCAGGACGCCTCACAAGTAAGTACATACTGTGTATTTCATTGTACGTACGTCTGAATTGTTTTTGAAGGTGTCTTGTGGTGCCTTACTCTTTCAAGGGTAAAGGAACATCTTGTAGCTGACAGGGAGTGGCTGGGGTCTTAAAAAAAATGTTGCTCTTGGGTCAGGGGGCACACTTACCAGTGTGGGTCGAACAGCCGGGCCTTTGAAGCCATCTGGGGAATGGTTTGAATTCACTCTAGTCATATCTAACCTCGCTGCGAAATCTAATCTTAGCCCTTGGGAAGAATACCCACTGACACTAAAGACAAAAGGTGAGATACATGTTTCGCACATGGTGGAACATTTTTCTACCGACAGTGCTGAAAACAAGCACAATTGTGAAGCAATTTGCGCTCCAAAGGTTCCCCAAGTTGCGGGGTCTTCTTAATAAATGCAAGTGCAAATATGAGTATCGTTACTCAAGATAGAGATCATCTTTGTAATGGAGAGAGATCCTTCATCGTTCTCTCTCCTTGCAACAAGTGTTTGCTTAAGTAAGCTGCTGATAGTTTAAGCCTAAAACGTTTTCACTGCAGAGCTGAAGCCAACGTGCTGAGATGGTGCCGCTGGGACTGCACTGCTGGTGGCTAACTGTATCAGCAAGCTGCTGTGCTGTTAGAAGCCTTGTTTGCTGTATGATGTATGGGAAGAGGGGAGGGAGGGAGGGGGGGGGCCTCTGCTGCACGAGCGCCGCCCCAGAGGGCCTATACTAAAACAAATTGAAAAAAATGAATAACGCATTAAAGCATGCATACATGAAAAAGCAATAAACAATACTAAAGCCATTCACAAGACTTGGTTAACCGATGCCAAAGAAGTGTTCATCTACTTGATGATGGATATTGTTGGCTCCGATGTGGCCGTAAATTGATTTAACTGCTGGATGTTTTTTTCCACAGGCTGAGGTGTGCTCAGGTACAGTAGCGGAGGTCATCCAATCAGTGGCGAATGGCGCCGATGGGTGCATCTTCTGCTTCGGACAAGTTAAGCTTGGTAAGGCCCCGCATTTAAAAGTTGGGTTGAATGATAAATAAAAAATAATCTATTTGTTTTTTTCAGTATTTTTGCCAATTTTGCGATTGCAATTTAATACGCATTTACGGCTTTTTAAATGATTTGAAAGTCTTTAAGTACACTTTGAAAACAATAGAATCGCAGTGTAACATGTATAATGTATTAAGATGACCAATAAACAACACAAAAATATTGTACAGTATAAAAATGTGCACGCATGACGGCTCATAACGAGATGAATACAGTACACTCCCATTTCATGTGTTAAAATTGACCTTTGAAAATTCCTGATTTTTCAGGATGCCACTCCGCTAAAATTATATAACGGCATAGGAAACACGGAAGTGACCAGCTAGGCGAGCAGCACGCACGCGCGTCTGACAAAACTGCCAATCGGGCAAAATAATGTTCTGATTAACTGAATCAGCACAGGCGGGTATTTTTTTTTCATGATGCGCGGGATTCAAATTCAAAACTATGCTGCAAAATTCATCGAAATGATGAAAATACTTGATTACTGTAATAATACAGAAAGAAAAAATGAAATACTGGGACCGCAAACGTATAAACCATGATAAAGGGGGATTTGCTGTAAATAATCTCTCCGATTAGAACAATAATACAAACAAATCTGTGGCTTTGTGGAACAATGATACATAAACATATGGACTGCACTTCTTCAACAGTGACACTATAAATAAACAGATAAATAAAAAACAAACACACACACACACACACACACACACACACACACACACACACACAACCGGTAAACTTTAACTTTTTAACTTTCACCTCAACTCGATTGATTTCCAAAAACATTTCCACGCCAGTGTGTTTCTGACCCTTTCATAATATATTTTGATTTTATTCTCAGAGTATTTTTTTTCTTCAATCCATAACAGTCATTTTAATACCTGGCCAGCAAGTTATTGATTTGCCGTGCCCTTTTCGCAGGCAAGACATACACGATGATCGGCAAAGACAGCTCCACTCAGACCTTGGGCGTGGTGCCCTGTGCCATCTCGTGGCTCTTCAAGCTCATCAACGAACGCAAGGAGAAGACAGGCGCACGCTTCTCCGTCCGGGTGTCTGCAGTGGAAATCTTTGGGCAAGATGAGGAACTGACGGACCTGCTGTCTGACGTATCGACGGGGAGTCAGCAAGAAGGCCAGTCGCCAGGCATCCATCTCAGAGAGGATCCCATTTGTGGCACTCAAGTAAGAAGAGGCCGATATTTGTAGGGGAAAAAAAAATTGGAATTGTTCCCTTCAATGAACCTTCAAAAATGTTTTGGCTTATCTTGTTTTTTTTTTCTTTTTTCTCCCAGCTATTGTTATCAGTTGTACTCGACCATGCATGTCTCTGGCTCTCGATTTCCACCAAAGCCATCTGTGCCTTATTGATGGCTTTCAACTTACCTTTGCATTGACTCTCTTGTCAGCATCCATCAGCATCTATTACCTTGGTGCGAGAGCACTTCTAAGCACAATGGAAGTGTTATTGGGGGATGGTGTCGGTTTGAAAAGCCACTCACAGGTGTTGCTGTCAGACGTTTTGGGTGAATGTGGATGTGCCCCCTACTTCAAAGACAGCTCTTCTTCCGCTGAGCAGCCACATGGAGGCTCCTTTCATATTTCTTTCTCTGTCTCGTCCAACTTCATCATCGTCATCAGCATCATCCTCATCCTCATCCCATGGTGAAAGGCTTACCTCTGCTTCCTGCTGCACCATTACCTCTGCTAATCGTCCTCCCTCTGTGCACATATGTGCCCTTTTAATTGCTTTTGAGACCCAAGCAAATGGGCAAAAAATGTGCACTGGGTTCCAATTAACCAGTTCCCCTCTTTGTTTCTGTCCTCTCTTTTCCGGTCTGTTTTTTTTTTTTCAAGCGCCATTTGGTTTCTTTTGCTCACCATAGTGTTTTCTATGAAACCTTCATCCCCACCAAATCCCTTTTACAGCTTCAGAATCAGAACGAGCTTCACGCCCCGACAGCTGAGAAGGCGGCTTTCTTTCTGGACGCTGCCATAGCAGCCCGCAGCACCAGCCAGCCCGGTGCAGAGGAGGAGCAGCGACGCAACTCGCATATGCTGTTCACGCTGCACATTTACCAGTATCGCATGGAGAAGAGCGGCAAGGGAGGAAGTTAGTGTCATTTTTTTGTAGCTACTGTAAAACTCACTGACACGGGGGGTTCCTCAAATGTTTTAAGTGTGAACACTGAACACCAATTAGAAAAACGGACCAAAAATTAGCATAACATTGACATGTAGCTTACTCTGCATCAACTTATGATAAGAAACACAGAAGACGATAGTCACGAATCAAAATGCCCTTTTGCCAAGTAATGTTTTTCCTGGCTGTAAAAAATGAACCGACAACCCACTTTAGGACCAAACCTAAATTTGGAAACCCTTCCTTGACAATTTCTCACGAATCTTAGCAGCAATTTCTGTCCGGTCACACATTATTTTCGAAATAATAAATAATAATAAGGTTTGTTTGCATTCGTGTGCAAGGATTTGATGCCTGACAAGACAATGTTTTGTTGCTATTTCTAAATTTAACCCTTTCATGCACCCCGTAACCTGATAACATGATAAGCTGTCCACTGTCGTAACCTCTGTCCCTGAAAGGGTTAATGTGGTGTGCTTGTTTTTTTAATGAGATACACATCTGGGATAAGGTTGAATCACTCCGCAGTGATAGTCAACTGGTCTCGTCTGGCTGTATAACTCCTCACATGTATTAACAGTGTGTAAGGAACTTTGCGGACGTGTGCGTGTTTTACTCACTCCGTCCCTCTCCGACGTTTGCCCTTTAGTGTCAGGTGGGCGGAGCAGGCTACACCTCATCGACCTGGGGAGCTGTGAAAGAGTCTTGAGTAAAAGTCGAGAAGGGGGAGGCGGAGCGTGTCTTTCTCTGAACGCATTGGGGAATGTCATCATGGCTTTGGCGAATGGAGCAAAACACGTACCTTACAGGTAAGGCTCCTCAATTACTCACAGACGGCATGCCAAGTGTATTCCATATGTCATTGTATCAGGCGAGTCCCTGCGCGTTCCATTCTCCCGCGACACGTGTTCTATTCGTTTCGTTTGTTAAGTTAGCTTCTGATGAAAGCCTTCACCGCTGTTGCAGTGATTTATAGTATAACACCGAGTGTGGCTGGCAAAGATTTATTAATGGCACCTTAAAAATGAATTTATCTTGGAGAGAGTTTTAAAATTATGACAGCTCACTTTTATTGTCCTTGGAATTCATGACAGGATTTATGACAGTGTTTTTTCTTCGCTAATAACAATGTTCCCCCCGTAGGGACAGCAAGCTGACAATGTTGCTGAGAGAGTCCCTCGGCAACATCAATTGTCGAACCACCATGATTGCCCACATCTCCGATTCTCCGGCGAACTACGCCGACTCACTCACCACGATCCAACTGGCATCCCGCATTCATCGCATGAGGAAAAAGAAATCGAAGGTAGCAGGCTCACTTCATTGCCAATCTAGGTGGCAGAAATGAACTGATTCCCCCTAATGAGATTCCAGGTTGTGAAAGTGCATTTGTGCAAGAATGTTTTGAAGACATTTACATTATTCAACAAATCACGATCGCCGTTGTCAGCTACCGAATGGTTGCAGAGTAATTGTTCTTAAACATTATATGCGTGTTGCTGTCATACTGTATAACGTAATTTAAATTTTATCCTCCATGTTCCATGCCACAACGCCATTCTTTAAATAGGTCTTTAATTAAGCAAATTAATGTGGAAGTGCCTCCCTAAATGAAAGATTATCAGTGCAGTAACTCCAAAGGCACTTTTTCCTCTGCTCCTCAACACATAACCGTGAAATCAATACCACTGCCTAAGGCATTGTGTAATGCATTTCTTTGTATTAGGGAAATGTATGCACCAGATAATTAGGCGCAATGACAGCATACATTTATTCCGTTACAGTTCCAGGCAAGATTACACTGTAGTCCACCCATGGCAATTCATTTTATTGACATTAATTTCTGTGCGACTATTGATGTGCACTTTTAACCTTGGGATAAATATTGACTGATAATTTCACAGGAATTAATTTTGCCTCAATCTTGCTTTGAGGTTGACTGAATTGTAGGAATTAATATGCACTACTAATCAACTGGTTTCATAGAAAGGTCAGATTGCAGCCTTAAAAAGTCTTCAAAAGGTAGTGAGCCCATGAATCTCCAAACACTGCCTTAATTGGCAATAAAATGTATTAAATCAAGCTTTCATAAAGTCTTAGAGACACATGATAATCTCAAATTTTAAAATGAATTAACATTTTTTTTTAAAAATACATTTTTCAAATGACTCTTGTAGTAATATCACACAATCAATCACGATCGTGGAAGTAACAAAACAGTCATATGGTTTTTGTTCATTTTTGCAGATGCATGTCATTTTCATACTGTAGCAAAAAAATGGGGGAATGGGAGCATTCTCATGTTGGTGTTGAACTTAATTTAATATGGAAGTAAAAAGTCTTAAAACTTACCTGAAGCTGTAGGAACCCTGTTTAATGCACTTATGTTTCTTTCCAGTATGCATCCAGTTCATCTGGAGGGGAAAGCTCTTGTGAGGAAGGGAGGATCCGTCGACCACCTCACCTCAGGCCTTTCCATCCTCGGACTGTGGCCCTGGACCCGGATCTACCCTCTATGATCAGTGACCCAGACTATTCCTCCAGTAGTGAGCAGTCATGTGATACTGTTATTTATGTGGGCCCTGGTGGAGCTGCGATCTCAGACAGGGAGTTGAGTGACAATGAAGGCCCACCTGCTTTTGTTCCCATCATCCCTTCCCTGAACAAGAAGAGGACGGCAAAGGAGGGTCCCTTAGACAGAGACCAATTCTTTAAATGCAACACATTTGCTGAGCTGCAAGAGAGGCTGGAATGTATAGACGGTAGTGAAGAACCGACAGCATTTGTTGGTGAGGGCAAGCGAAACCAAGCGAGCCCCAAGACGGACAAATCTAAGGAGAGCGGCGCAAGCTCTGTTTCACCAAAGACTCTTGCAAGTGTGACTTGCAACCAAGATGGCAACTCACCCAAACAATCTCCTAAATCAGTTGCTGGACAACCATTTTCCAGTCCTGGCACAAAATCTAAAGAGGACGTTTCTGAAAGGCAAGGCATACCTGCAGAAAGAAAACAACCAGAATACATTCCAAATGTACTCAGAACCAGTGCGGATGGCGAGAGGAACATGGTTTCAGAAAACAGTGTTGATGCTGATAAATCGACAATGGCTGCAACAGCTCATCCTGAACCAGTTGTTAGGGAGAAGATCTACTTCAACAAGAAAGCTACTCGCAAGGAAAATTCAGAAAAGGCAGGAGGATCCAACACCAGAATGCCCCCTGTCGGGATGAGCCACCAAGCTGTGAAAAGGAGGGACCCTTGTACTCCCCCAATTCTCCGTGCTCCAATCGAGGTTTGTCAAATGAGCTCCACCTTGCAGGAAAAGTGTTTTGATCGAGACATCCTGAGAGCAACTGTCACCTTGCAGCAACCCGTGGAGCTGAATGGAGAAGACGAGCTGGTGTTCACTGTGGTAGAGGAGCTGTCTATAGGCAGTATTGGCGATAACGGCCGGCCATCCAGCATTATCAGCTTTAATAGTGATTGTTCTCTGCAGGCCCTTGCCTCTGGCTCCAGACCTGTCAGCATTATTAGCAGCATCAATGATGAGTTTGATGCCTACACATCAACTGTTGGGGGAGCCGAGTTCAATGTTGAAATGGTACCACCGCTACAGGAAGGAGCAATGGAGTGTCTACATAGTAGGGGTCCTTCTGTCAGCTCTTGGCTTAGTGAAGTTAGTGTTTGCACTCTGGAGAGTGAAGGGGCTCAATCTTCTGATGTCTTCCTTCCATCAGACAAGACCACGGGGCCAGAAGCCGCTTTTAACTTTGATTCCCTCGATCTGTTCCATTCTGTACCATCAACTCGGAATGCCAAGAATTCATTGAATGACAGTGGGTTCAGTTTCTCTGAACAGGACAGTGATAGCGCTGCCTCGAGCAAGCTATCCTTGACAAAGTGCCCCCCATCTCCAGATTCAACCAAAGCACCCCTCAGATTACCTTCTAAAATAACAAAAGCTTATTCACTAAGCTCCACACTTTCACAGAGTCCCTCCATGGTTCACTCCAGTCTTCCAAGGAAGGTCAAACCTACCTCATCCATCCCCAGTAGTAGCAGTAGCAGCAACAGCAGAGATTCACTGAGGCAAGATGCCAAGCAGGAAAATCCCTGGCAGCGCACAGACAACCTCCCACAAGCGCAACCGATTGTACCCACGAGCAGGTTTGTCAGAACCCCTCCCAGTGGTATTGCGTCAAGCAAAACATCCAACAACTTTAACAGTGCACCTCGACCATCCAAGGTACATGGGTCTACCTCATCCCAAAGGGTGGTTGATGGGTGCGAGAAGTCTGCCAGTAAGAAATCCGATCCTCCCAGCAGAATGCCTCAGCTAAGAAGAGGTGCAACCACTTTAGGAACAGTGCCCTTCATCCATTCGTCTACGGACGACAAGGGAACCCAAGATGTTGCAGCAGCGACAAGCCTTAAATTCTCCTCTCTCGGGAAAAACAACAAGGATAACTCACAGAAATCAAGTAATCTACCCAGACCAGGTTGCATATCCCCTCCTCCACCGCCAGTAAGAAAGTCCAGTCTCGACCAAAAGACCAAGATCCTTCTACCCCAAAGTGCCTTAAAGTCAGCATATGGGGAGGCAGGAAGGAACATTGGGGCCAGGGCAGGGCTATCGGAGGATGAGCTTGATGTTCGTCACAGAGCGGACTCCATTCATTTAAAAACCTCCAGCCTGAGAGCTGACCATAGCAATGTCAAAGTTACCTCAAGTCTGAAGGCAAGAGGAACAAGAGGTGAAGCTGGGCATCACTATGGTAGTCAGATGTCCTTGGAGAGGTGTGACAGTACGTCTCTATCCAGCCCCCGAGCTGGGCTGAGTCGGGAAAATAGTGGCGCAAGTCTGGGGAGCAGCGGCAACAAAGCTGGTAAATTTATTCCTCGATTAGGCATTCCCAATTCATCAAGTTCTCCGATCGCTACCTGCCCGTCAACCCCAGGTGGAGAAACCATCAGCAAAATGGGCCAGGTCAAAGCATCAGGAAACCCTCGAGCATTAGGATCACTCAACAGCAGTAAGGCACGCTCATTGTCTGCCAACAGTTCCAAAGGCCTAAGTTCTTCCACCAAATCTTTGGCCACGGCTGTGACTAGAAATACCAACGCCAACCTTCCTCCATCAGGCAGAACATCAGTTCCTCGGTCGGCTGCTGCTGTCACTAGCAAGCCTGGGAGAGGGACTATCATGGGCACAAAGCAGGCTGTGCGAGCCGCCAACAGCCGAGTGAGTGAACTGGCAACAGGTAGCATATCAGGCAAGCACGTGAAAGTTTCCGGAGATTCAGACAGTGGTAACGACAGTGGCGTGAACGTGGGTGATGACAAATCCCCAATAGCTATGCTACCGTCACCGTACAGCAAAATTACAGCACCTAGACGGCCCCAACGGTACAGCAGTGGCCACGGCAGTGACAACAGTAGCGTGCTGAGTGGGGAGTTGCCTCCAGCAATGGGCCGCACAGCCCTCTTCTATCACAGCGGCGGCAGCAGCGGATACGAGAGTATGATCCGTGACAGCGAAGCCACGGGGAGTGCTTCCTCTGCCCACGATTCAATGAGTGAGAGTGGAATGTCATCTTCGGGCAGAACAAGGAGCTCCAAATATCCCAAAAAGAGAGCAACTGGTGAGAGCCGCATAAAATGAATGAGACTGTTTCACTCATGTTGAGAAAAGAGTCAAACATTTCCAACATTTTAATATAGCAATGCTGCCTGCCGTTCATGCTCCATTATCGAGAAAGGCTCTTTATCCTTTCTTTTCTATTATCCGCTCTTATACAGTTGCAAATTGCTATTTCATTGTATTTTCTTTCACTCTGATTCCGCTCCATGAATTATTCATGTATATATGGGAAACCGGTGATGAATGTTTCACAAAAAGACGACTCCAACTGTGTGATGATCAGGTTAGATGAATTGAAAATGAGCGCGGCGGACCTAGTTCCATTATTTTAGCCCATTACATACAAACATTGGAATTCAGGGCTTAAACGAGGCTTAAACGTAGCTATCGACAATATTTTCCCATTTGTGAACCTGCAACATAGCAACTCATGAAAAACCTGTAAATATGCAACCACCAGAACTGGCGTCGCATCATCTGTGACTCAAACACGTTTCCCCACAGACTCCGACAAAAAACGTGCTTTTGTGTGCTTCTGTAGGTTTCCAGAGGAGACGCCTAATTCCAGCGCCCCTGCCAGATACCTCTTCCCTGGGGATGAAAGTCGGCACAGCAGGCCAGTGGGTCGACTTGCCCCCAACACTGAAAGAGCCTTTTGAAATCAAGGTCTATGAAATTGACGATGTGGAACGCCTTCAGAGAGGACGTCAGGAACAAGCTACAGAGGTGCGTGGCGGGTCGTTCCTGACATAGTCTACATTGCGCTGCATCTTGCTGACCTTGTCATGGATCGTGTAGCGTCTGGTTCTCATGAAGCGTACTTGCTAAGCCTTGGCGGCATTTTGCATCGACTACAAGTTGTGGGAATGTCTTAGCTCACTTCTTCCCAGTTTCTTTTTAGACCTGACCTTCAGTCAGCTGATTGGCAAATCCCCAAGTGAAAATGTCAGCGCAGAGATCCTACACGCTCAGAATTTTGACTCCTCGGGAATGTCAACAGTTCTGGAAGCAATTACTAACAGGCTTTAAATGATATATGGACTGATCATGATGGCAAGAGTGAGCATAATGAAATTGTGATGGACGGGAGAAGAATGTACAATGAAGACGGGGCTCAATCAGCTCACCACTCAGCAATGATTGCCTTTTATAGCTCCTCTTCTGTGGCTCATTGACTGCTCGCATAGGTTTCTCACAGCCACACGGAGATGTGTTAACTTCTTGATTTGCTTTGAATTAGTGGACACATTCCAATAATTAAAAAATGATTCGATTATACGTATATTAAATGTATTATGATTCATCATGTTCAACATTGAAATGTTTTCTTCCTTCGTTTGCAGCAACCATTTCACGATGTTGACAAGGTGAGAAAAAAGTTTGGCTGTAAAGTCCCCCCCACAAATGTCCAAATATCAAATTGATTGAGCTTTTCCATCGATACGGTTATTGAAACACCTCTTATCGTCCTTCAGGGTCTGTTGTATTTTAATAATAAGTTGAAGATGTTGGAGAGAAGGCAACAGCAAGTAAGGGAGTTGAAATCAAAGCATGAAGTGTTGATGGAGGAGCTGGAGGACACCAAAGCCCGGCTAATGATGGATCCCAGGAAGTGGACCGGAGAGTGTAAGTAATTGCTTCACCGCCCCCTCCCCCCCTCCCCCCATGCTCAGTGTGTTATTGCTATCGTAACATCTGAGCTACCATTGTTGCTTTTTGTAAACAGTTGAAGTGGACCCAAGTTTGGATAAAGAGTCTCCAGAGTACCTGGATGTCTTGGAGCGGGTCACAGAAGAGTTGGAGTTTTGCGTCAACTTGTGCAAGTCACGCGTCATGATGGTGACCTGCTTCGACATCAGCACGCAGGCAGCCGCCGCTCACGAGGAACCGCGGGAAGTCGAAGTCTGAGGACGAATGCAAGTCGATGCGCTGAAACGAGGAAGTGAGGAAGTGAAAAGGATGGTGAAATGTAGCAGCCGCTTCAAGGATAAAACTGCAATGAAGAATGCCTGGGTGAAAGAAGGCGTCTGCATGAAAACCGGAAATCATAACCACATTGCTAGAGTGCCTCGTTGTCCTGGACAAGGCAGTGAAACGAAACGTGAGCACAAATGCATAGCAGTGGCCATCACATACTCTTACTCAAGAGTCAGTGAACACCTGGAAGTGCCTTTATGAAAACGCGTTTCATGTCATTGTTTTCCTTTCGGTGCCGGCATATCTATAAACCTAAGCAAACCCTGAACATTTTGCTTTTAAGAACAAATATTTTATATTGCATTGTAAAGTGTATTTATGATTATGTGGTGTGTAAAAAAAAATCTCTTTGAAAGGGTAGAAATAAAGGGGGAAAAAAAGAAAAAAAAAGCAATAAGCTAATGTTATTGCGCTCCCGGATTTTGCCTTTCCTCTTGTTTGAAACCTCACTCAGCATTTTCGTCATTCAGCCTCTTGCGCCTTATGTTCACTTTTGTAGTTTTCTAGATCTTCAAACTGGACTGTGTTTTCTCATGAACGATGCATTTGCTCTCATCCCCCATCACCTGCCATCTTGCCTGCAGAAAACTGCAAGGTTGAGTGAATGTTTTTTTGTTTGTTTGTTTGTTTGTTTTATTTTGTCTCTCCAGTTGCCTTGATCACAATGAATCTCAGTGGATGCACAAACGTAGAGCAGCAGTTAACGTTTTATCCATGGGTGCCCAAAACGAGATGCTAAGCCAAAACATATCAATCAGAGAGCCACTGTGATGGACAGTTAGCGTTAGTTCTCCTTGGTGCCTCCACAACTGCCCATGTAATGGTTTTCTATACAGGCCTACAACAAGAAAAGCATGATGAATAGTTATACAATGACAGCAAACGGAGAGCTAACTATACAATGTAAAAAAAAGAAAGAGGCACAAAGGAGAAAGCACAAAAAATCCTGTTTCATTTTTTTTGTTGTTGTTCATTTGTTATAGCCAAGCCTCAGCTCTATGCATTCCACTTTTTACTGAATAAAAAAGAAAGAGGCACAAAGGAGAAAGCACAAAAAGCCTGTTGTTTCATTTTTATTGTTGTTGTTCATTTGTTATAGCCGAGCCTCAGCTCTATGCATTCCACTTTTTACTGAAATTACTGTCCGACTATCAGTACTGACTTTAAGCGCAGCAGCATATGTTGGACTATTTGCCCTGGACTTTATTTTATTTGGGTTTTTTGTTCTTATTCGGGCAAGTTTTAAACTACTCCACACCATCATTGCTACACTTTCCAATGAAATTATGCAGCATATACAAACCAATTATGTTGATATTAGTCATCTGTGTGTCATCTAAAAGGATCACTGGATATGATTGTGAACAAGCAACTTTTTTTGGGGTGCATTTTGTTTTGTATAACTATAATAATAGGAATTTGTTTACTTTCTTCAACAAAGATGTTCTCTCAGGCCCTCTCTGAAGATGCTGCATGAGATTTTTTAATCATTTTTAGTAATGATTTCTACTCCATTTTTACCATTCAAATTTTTTACAATAACTTCATTTTTCACTAATGTGGGTTTAGGCTTATGAATGAAAAAAACAAACAAAAAAAAAAACAACTTATAGTACCAAACCGAGACCTTTTTCCAAGAAATTATTTTATGTAAGGTCACATTTCATATCGAAACCCATATTTTCGAATATCTTTGTTTTTGTACAGGATTTTCAAACTCTGTGTATATATGTATGATATGGCAGCTTGTGTTTTACTTTTACAGTACCTGTGAATAAAATACTTCTTACTGAGGATCCAGACTTTTATTGTTTGCTGCTTTTGATTCTATATTCTCCCATTCGCACATAAATCTTTTTCCTGGCTAGTTGTGCGTACTTTTCATCGAATTTCCCCCGTCCAGACTGCTGATACACGTGCCTTGCTTAACTGGAAGGAATGACGGTGCAAACACCAAAGATGCGTGAATGACTATTAATGAAAAACTGAATTGAGGCTGGCTGAAAAGTTGTGATAGTGGATCTCCTGCGCTTTCAAAAAAAATCTCCAAATATTGTCCTTTCATGTCAGTTGCCGGCACCATCTTTAACCCTTTCATGCACCCTGTAACCTTATAACATAATAAGATGTCCACTGTAGTAACCGCTGTCCCAGAAAGGGTTAAAACTGAATTTTATCTTCACGTTGCGCTGGGCTTACTACGGCCTCTGGAGTGGGAAAAAGTTGCTGAAATTGACCAGAGAATGCACGGAAAGGCAGATTTGACAGTGACACTTTTTTTTTGTTACTCCACACAGAGTGCATATTTGGCATGAAGGTGTGTAAATGATAGATTTACTGTAAGCGGGTGGGAGAATCTGCGCAGCCAGAAACGCGTGCAACTGCAATGGTTTTACCTTCTGAAATCGGAGAACAGATGCGTCCTGCGATTGGCTTGCCATCAGTCCAGCGCGTCATCTGCCTTTTGTCCCAAGTGAGCTGCCATAAACCCCAATTCACACACAATCCTAATCTGGACAAGTGTTACGATAGTAAAAATAGAGGGATGATTTGGATTGTAATTCTAAAGCATCTTTTTTTTTCTTTCTTTTGGCGGGGTACAGACTTTTAAAAGATAATGCTTTCATATCATTCAGAATGACATTGTGAATGATAACTATTTTACCAGAAACTACATGAAAGGTGACCTCCATTTCGCCAACGCAGCAGTCAGTAGGTGAAATAAAAGGGAAAATACTTTGTGACAACCGTTTGTCGAGGGTGGATTCATTGTGTCACTCGATACAAGAAAATAATTCGGTTTGATGTCACAAAGAGCGACGTGCGAGCGTTGAAAGTAGAAAAAGCCGGGAATTTTTGCAGCTTGCCAGAGAGCACTACACAGGCCGGCCTGTCCACCTTTCTGTGAACTGCAGGGAGACGTCTTCTTCAAAGATTACGAAAAGCTACTGTGTGAATTGTACATCAAACCATCCGAAGAATGTCACGAGTGTTTATTTTTCACCAAACCATCCTTCCTGAAGGACGGTTGTAGCAAGAAATAGTGGCTCGAAAAGTCCTTTTCATCTTCAGTCAGTTAGGATGCATTGTTTGTCCAAGATGTCGCCCCTCCCTTTTTGTTGTTCCCTTTTTTCAGTGTGGACTGGGCGTCTCGCTAATTGGTGCACCTGCCTCCCTTACACACCTGCGAGTCTTCTGCTCATCAGCCACTTGCAGCATAAAAGCCAGCCTGAACAGCCACCCGTTGCCAGTTCGTCAGCGATTCCTTCCTGCCGCACTCGCTTCTGCCCAGCCGTTACGCCCCCTGCGCCCTGCTCTCCTTGAATTGGTTGTTTTTGTTCTACTATTCGATTCCTGCCACCTTGACCGATCCCACTCCTAGCTAAGTAAATCCTTCTGAGTTCATTGTGTCTGCGTGTGGGTCCTGTGCTCTTTTTCGGTCAGGTCATCAAATGCAAAACTATTACTCGCCAGATGCACAAATTGCCTTCAAATCCACTCATCATGACATAGATTAATACAATTTAGCTGAACAGGCTAAAGTCAAGTCAAGTTAGTTTTATTGTCAAATATGCTCAGATTTTGCCCAACGACTACTGTGTAGGGACAGAGGTTACTACAGCTTACCATGTTATCAGGTTACAGGGTGCATGGAAGGGTTTAGCCAAGCATATGACAAAGTATCCTCCTCTTGGACTTAATTCATGAACACGGAGTGACATTTTGGAACTACTGAGTGACAAACGTCAGGATTTTTGTTGATTCAAGTAAAGAGTGACATCTACTATAAGGTGGCCGGCCTACTGTGGGACGTGTATTGCTTGACCTGCCGTGCCACATTATCTTCCCCCTTTGTGTGATGATCCTAGCCATCCTGGCAGGCATCCAGTTTGAATTTCATTGTTGTAAATTTCATTGTTTTTTAAACACCATTTTCAGCCTGTAGTGGCATAACAGACACTTGAAGAAACATGTTGGCTATGACTGAATTCTTGCGAAGTTGTCGTCTGGGTGCAAAACAGTTGCGAGTGGCTCTGGCATACTCTCTAGTCTGTGCCAGAGAGATGAATCACAATTCATAACAAGAAAAAAAAAGTTGTTTTATAAGGATAATTAATGCGGTATTACAACGAAAATTGATATTTTGGAACATAGATGTCCCCCTGCATTTAAATGATGACTGTTGACGATGTAGTCAGGGTAGACTTCAGTTTAAATTTGATGAACAATGAAAATGTAGGTTACCACAATGTTTTGACAACAGTGTAAAACCATTTAATATAACTGCGACAGTGCTGAAAACTCGTTTTTTTATGGCTTTGTTTGGCCACCAAAGGCATTTTGGAACAAATCATTATTGCAGTGCTTATTAAAGGTGAGCCAAATGCTCCTTCTCACATATCCTCCAGTCAGACTGCGCATTCATTGCTGTTTCAGGTACATGAAAGGAAAAATAGTCTTTATGGGAAATCTCAGTCCTGCTCCTCTGCCCCTCATCAGCCCGAGGCATTGGCAGTGGTCCTACTCGCTCAGCTTTGGATTTACGGCTTTGCAGTCTCACAGATTGGTTTGTCTGAAGCTAGCTTGCTCTTTGAAGAAGACCCATAAACCTGACCAAATGCTGCCACTTAATGCTCAGTAATTAAAACAAGCTGGCTTGAAGCAAAGTCCCTAAATTATCAGCAGCCAGGCGAGAGATGTGAGATGTGGTCGTGCTTCTGGGAGGTCATAACTATTGACGCCTCTAACCCCAAAATAGATTACATCTGAGTGGAGTCCCGCACCCACACGGAAAAACCTCAAGAAATCCTGAAGCCACAGCGCACAATCTGTTGTGTACATTCAGGATGGGTGGCCGTACGAATCCAAACAAAATGCCACCGGGCTCGTGTAACGCGGGCCATTAATCAGAACAAAGCAATCCATGAAGTCAATCAAACGATCATGGAGTATTTAACCTTTTTTCTTGTGTCTCGTACATGTACGTCATGCACATAAGATCATCAAAACACAATTTTGCTGCATATCTGATTGCCACTGAACACTCGTAACCTTATTAATATGTACCATAATGTGAGGGGTCCAAAGGTGTTGTGCCCGTTGACCTGTGATGGATGTATTTTTATTCACCTACTATCCGTTTGAAACTTGACTTTAGGGTGCAAATCAAGCATGCAAGTTATTTACGATAGTGGTCAGTCCATGATTCACTGACCTTGTCAAAGAGTAATGAACGTGAGCTTGCTGTTTGGAAAGTGCCGAGGACGGATGGGCTTTGCTGCCGAGCCTAGAAAGGCCACATGGAATGCTTTCAGAATAATGATTGCACGCAGTTATAAATATATTTTTTTTCAAAGCTTCTACATAATTGAGCTAAATTCTTGATTATCCTGATTGTTGGGAGGGTTAGCGTACGCTGCAGTCGGGTTAATGAGACTTCTCCTTTACTCTTTTTTTACAGATCGGCAAATTGCACTCAGGAGATGACCTTGCGTAAAAATCCATTATTCCCGTAGACTCAGCCGAATGAAAAAATGTACTTGCTGAGATATGACTGTTAATTGAGTAGTGAAAGTGAACAGGGAGGCAATTCCAACAGATGGTCATGCGTCAGGGAGAAGACCTTTTTAATGAGTTTGTCTGAAGAGGTTTCTTCATCAGACCCCGCTGAATATTTACATTTCACTGGCCATCAGGCAGGTTCTTTGCTGGTTCCCAAAAGCAGTGCTAACGGCCATCTGTTGGCAGGGAAGTTCCTGAAGGAGCCCAAAATATACATAGCTGAAGGACACCAAGAAGTTGCGCTCATGGGTCAAACTTAACAAGAGTGGATTTAAAGTACAGGTCTGATGTTGAAAGCGAATCAGGTATGTTCTCACTTTTGATGCCACCATATATATTTTCGGGTGTGA